GTGTTATTCCCGTGGAAGGGCCCCACGGATGGGGAAAGGTACAGGTAAAACATGAGCTCTGGCTGAGTGCAGGACTCCAGCTCTTGCAGCAAGACCCCCGCTCTTGCAGTGCATGGGTCTCTGCCTCGGCTGACGTTTGCCCAAACGCAGCCCGCAGCTGAGGACGGCTCCATCCCCAGTGCCCACCCGCTCCCCGGGAGCCCCTCCCGGCTGCTCCCTTGCCGTGCTGCCCAACCAGGGCCGTGCTCCAGCCCCAACTCGGCAGGACCGTGCCGGGCTGCTGCCCACCGTGCCCCCGACCACGGCGGCTTGCAGAAAGAACCAGAGTGAAAGAGCAGCAAAGCTCAGGACGGGTAGGGAGCGCTGACTCGTCCTGGCCGGGAAGCTGCGTCCTTTTGCTCCGCCAGCAACGCTGCGTAGGCGTCTTACACTTTGCCTGGCACGAGGGGCACCAGGGCAGGGAGGCGGCGACCATCTCCCGTGCCTGTCCCCCTCTGCTACGCCTCGCCCGACACAAGCCCCCCCACCGGCACTGCCTCTGCTGGCATTTTGGAGTTAAATTTCTTACAGAAGCATCATGTCCTCCCCAAAGGAGCTGCCAGAAATGGAAGGCTGCCTAGGTGCTGCAATTGGAGGGGGAGACGAGGGGAGGGAGCGCGTGGCTCTCGGGACAAGGCCGTACCTTGGGCTGGTGCTCGATCTTGTAGGAGGTTTGCTGGAACTGGCGGATCTCCCTTATGATGTGCGAAATCTGCCCGGAGGTAAAACAGGGAAGCGGTTTACAGCACAGCCATCGCCCCAGCACCGCGTCCCAGCTCCCGGGAGGGCGACGGGCAGAGCCCGCTCCATCCGCACCTTCCAACCACAGCACGGTGCAGTGGGGATTTTTTGTTTCTTCCAGACGCATCCCTCGCCAGGGACAGCCCCGGCTGCAGGGGCACGCGTGGGGCTGCCTGGCACTGGGTGGACGATAGCCAGCCCTGGGGACCGTGCGGGGTGGGCACAGACCCGGCCAGCACCGCAGCACCGAGCCGCATCGCTGCCACCCGGCCCCCGCACCCCGCTGCGGCGGGGCTGCCAGACTCACCATCCTCATTTTGGAGAAGTTCACCAGGCCGTCCTCGGTGTAATTCGGGGTCCCCTCCTCGATGAACGCCAGGTCAGTCAGGTACATTCCGAGGTAGGGGACGCACGGAGGGTCACAACTTCGGGAGCAAACCAGAAACAAGTAAGAAAGCAAGCAGAGGGCTGGAGAGCCCTTCCGAAGGTGGGCTTGCCCCCGCGCCCCAGCTCAGCCCCCCAGATCGCCCTGCGCTGCTGCTGGGACACGGCCCGCGGGCGCCTGCCCTGCACGGTGACGCAGAGAAGCCCATGGGGA